GTGGGTTAGTGAATAATATATGGGATAGATGGCAGTCTTAATAAAAGAAAGAGTCCAAGTAACTAAAAAAAAAAAAAAAAAAAAAAAAAAAAACCACAAAAAAAAAAAAAAATATAATAAAAAAAAAAAAAAAAAAAAAAAAAAAAAAAAAAAAAAAAAAGAGGTAGCTTACTCTAGCAGAGGATATATTCATAAATAGGTTTCAATCAGCTAAGAAATAAATAAAGGGAGCTTGTATATATTCACGAAGAGGAGGAGAGAAAAAAATTAATGATCTTTTATCCGATACTTGGATTGAACACTCAAAGTAACGGCAGGGTACACCTTCTCCGGAAGATCAGTCCATGCAATTCCATGGTTAATTCCATTGACAGAAATAGCACAAGTATGGGTTTCTTTATCCAAATGCAAAGTCACTACATCACCACTGCAAATAATGACGCCATAGTCGTGGGCTCCTCCTGGCCCCTTTACTTTCCGAAACTCTTCCCAAGACTGGAATACCCACGCCGATCTCCCGTTCTCCATAGTGGAATTGAAGTCAGTAAACTCCTCGCTCACCAACCCGATCTCGCTGATGCGGGACCAGTAAGATGATGAAACGGATTCGACCACTATGTTCCATTCGCATAGCCCGTTCAGAGACATTATCCCGGGGGCGGAGATTCGTGCCGTCTGCCTCACGGACCTTGACGTCTTGACGGAAAGCTCCACGGCCTTGCCATCGTCTGAGACGACAACGCGCGAACCGACCTTGGATCGATCCCACTGGAGATCTTGCCTTCCACGATCTTGACTTCCTCGATACCCTGACGAGTGCTCCGTTGGGCATATGGTGTTCTTGCATGCGTGGTGACAAAAGGCCATGTAGTGCGGAGATGTCTCTGCAAACCCGTCGACCGCCTCCGTGAGGCTCTTCAGGCGATGCGGGCACACAAGGGTAAGGTCCACATGCCTCATCATACTCAGCAACAAGTCATTTCCCAACCGAATTTTCCCATCGCATCCTGGAACCATACTGGCGACATCACGCAAGACAGCATGACGCTCCCGAACATCGGGTCCTGGCTCTTCGGCATGCGCCCAGACCCAGTCGACGACACACAGGAGCAGATCGTATTCGGAAGTGACGAAGTTAGTCGCGCAGGGTGCAGTGAAGAGCAGCTCGATGGCCTCTTTGGAGAGGTCTGTCAATTCTCCTATGGCGAGCTTGCGAGAGTAGAAGGGCCTGAGGAGCACGGCGTAGAGATCCTTGCTGGCCTCACCCCAAGGGATGGAAGCGGCGGCCCCGTTGAGAAGGGATGAGGAGACGCCAAAGTCGGAAATATCTTGGGCGCGCTCCAGCACCATGACCATGAGCTTGGGGAGGATAAGGAAGCTCGCTGCGCGGTAGATATCCACCGCGATGCTAATGGTGTCGTCGTCGATCGATTCGGTGTAGATGAAACCGAGGACGGCGGTGAGCGCTGCAGAGTTTATGTCGTGGAGGACGACGCGCTGGGAGACACTCTCCTGCATGTTTCCGTACAGCATTGCCTTGAAAACGGGACACCTTGGGAACCACAGAAAAGAATTAATATGAGATGTATCTATAAAAACTATGATACACAATCGAGAAACGATCAAACACACCTTGCAGACAGCACAGCACGGCAAGCGCCAAGCTCGACACCATCAGCGCAGACGATGGTTACGTCGTGGTAGGATGTGTCTTTCCATATGGTGGCGATGTCATCCTTGAGGTTAAGACCACTGACGGATTGCACGACCATGTTTAGTATTTGATTATGCCTTTGTTGATTCAAGGATCCGTTGTACTGTGGCGCAGTGTTTTTGAGCTTATCACACTGCGTGATCGATGCAATCCCTGAACTGAGCTAGAATCCGTATTTTGTCATACAGACCGTCGGCACCCGGATTCGCCATTCATGGGACCGAGATCAATCATACAAGAGTTTATTTCTCCCTTTTGGAACCACAATTCATTGACGCGATTGATGATGACGAGAAGTCCGTTAGAAACGGTTAATGTTATAGAACTTTTTTTTTTAGGTAGAAAATTGATATACAAGATAAGTTGGTGTCCAAAAAATAATTACGTAAATGTAACTATCCTCACCAAGCTTGACGAAGAAAAATGTAACTATCCTCACCAAACTCGACGAAGGTTCTAGATGAAAATCAATAAAATCAAGACTAGAACCGAGCCGACTGGTTGTTTTGCCAGACCTCTGGAGTTGTAATCCTAGCCAAATGGCGGGCCGAAAGATAGTGGGAGCGTGTTCGAAACACAGGAAGCTGGCGGCGAAAGGATTTGCAGGGTAAATAATACAGTCATTGTTGTAAGGTCAAGTTTAGCGACGTTTTGCCAGACCATATCTTAACTCGACATCGAAATCGTTCTCAATTTTAGAGCGGAAATTGGGTGTCTTGCATGTTTTATATTGCCTTAAAGCACACCTCCCTCTTTCCTCACCATCAAAAATCCTTCCCCACCGCACAACACGAATTTCATTCATTCAAGAAAGCCCCTCATGTCGTCAATTCTGTAGTAAGAAACTAAAATGCACCAAAGCTATTCTTAGTAGAAGAAACAGGCAGACTTGCCAATTGTGGGTAGCAGCGTGGAAGAAATATGAGGATGAGAGGGGTTGGAGACGAAGACAAAACTTTTCCGGCTTGTCAGAGTCAAACTAGGATAAAGATTGCGAACACTACAGTCTTCCGCCCTACCAACTGAGCTAAAACCAGTTTCCATTCAAGGTGATTTGGGATTGGAACGATGATCGCGAAACGATAAAATGATCGACGATCATATGCATGCCGACGCCGTGAGAAATTGACCAACCTCAAGACGTATTGAGAAATCGGGAGCACAGTTTTTAACCATTTATTTTCTCTATGATACATTAAACAATTTATTATCGCTCATAGAGCTTTTCTCTATACTGTACACAAAATTTTACTCTACCTTCTGAAACCCCCGCCACAAGACACATCCGTCGCACCCTAATACGCCAAATCATCCCCGACAACAACACACTCTGCACAAATCCTCACAACCTTACTCAGGAACATCGCCGCAACATTATTACATTCCTTGACGTCCAGTTCCCTTAGCCCCACGCACCTTATCTCGCCTACCTTTCTCCCCGTGACCTCCTCGCACCCCCTCAGTTTCAGCTTTTCGAGCTTCGCAGCTCCCGCCAGCACGCGCGTGAGCACATTGTCGGGCAATGCGCGATGGTAACTCAAATCGAGCGTGCGCAAGTCGGAGCATCGATCAACGACGTTGAAAATACCCTCCTGGAACGCGAAGAAATTCCGGTCCCAGGTACCGTGAATATTCATCTCCTTGTCGGAGTTACTCACATCGGGGATTGCAAGGCTAAGGTGACGTACCGCAGGGCAATTCTCGGCGAGTTGGTGCAGGAATCTGGACCCATACATGAGCCCGACAGTGTTTGTAATGTCGACAGAGACGAGGTGCGATGAGACGTGCGGGAAGGGTAACCATCGGTCGTCGGAGTCCCAGAAGCGGAGCCCGAGGAGTTTGATGGTGGTTATGGGGGCCTGCGTCGCCCGCATCGCGTGGCGGAGGTCGAGTGTGAAGAAGCGGGAAGTGAACGCAACAGTTTCCAGCGTCTCAAGGCGGGCGAGGGAGCCAATCCAGTTGTAAATTGGTGTGGCAGGAGGGACGGTATAGAGTTTTGGGAGACTGGAGAGGTGAAGAGTGGTGGCTTTCTTCGCGCCGACGCCGTGAAAGGTCATAGTCTCGAATAGTATACGGGCGGTTTTAGAGAGGCGGTACTTCTGTCTGTCGAAGTCGAGGCGCCAGATAGTAACGCCGGGCATAGTTTGCATGATGGAGTGAAGGTGTAATGCCAGCGGCCGAATGTCCTCCAACGTCTCGCCGGAGCTGTAGCGGCGCTTGTGACCCTGGCCACTCATTGAGAGCGTCAGGCGGCGTACGGGGACAGTCGCAATGAGGTCGCGAGCGCGCGAGGTCACGGTTCCCTCTGCAGATCGTGTGACCATAGGTCCGTCGCGTAGGACGGTCATATCGAGGGTGACGATGCGGACGAGTTGGCCCAGGTGTGGGTTGGCGCAATAGAAGCGGTCCATGGCAGCGAAATGACGGACGCGGTCGTCGTAGCCCGTGTCAGTATGGGTGAGGTGGACGTGCTGGAAGCGGTGGGGGAGGGAGGCGTGATGCCATGCGCGGCAGACGGTGGCGAAGGCGCGGAGGTGTTGGTTGGGTGGGGGGATGACGGTGGTTCTGACGGAGGAGGGGTAGTCGAGGAGGAAACCGATGATGTTCTCGAGGAGCTCGAGAGGGAGAACGGAGGCGAGTTTTTGGGGCGGAAGGTAAGGATTACCTGGGAGGTGCTGGGATGAGGGTTGGGCTGGCGATGTAGAGAGCATGTCGAGAGAGCACAACGACATTCTTGGGCGAGGAGCGCACAACACCTTTAATCTCACCGATCGATCACGTGCAGCGGTCAGCCACCAGAAATGTCAACCCAGCTTCCACGGACTATCAATCCGGAATAGTGCAGGGGACGGGCTCTCGCCAATCGTGTCACCCCCTCTGGAATCCACGCTCCTTGAACCTCAACCAGGCAGCAATGCCATCTTCCTGTTTCATATGCGTCTGCCACTGGTCATGGCCCGACTCATCCACATGATCCTCCTAGCCCAAAACCATCCCAGACTTATACTATCGCGTGAACCCAAGCTTCTCTCGTCTTACCCCATTGTATTTAGTCTGGCTCCAAACGTTTGAGCGCACCGGTTCCCGTAACGGCTGGATGCTTTCGAGAAGGAAACCATACGTCAATTGATCCCAACTTGGCTAGGCCGGTCGGTCGAACGCTGCCGCTTGTGTTCCTGTGCATGTAAAGGTTTATGAATTGCGTCACCCGAGGTGGTATGTGATAATCTTGCCCGAAATACACAATTCCACCAATCACCATCCTGTATCCCGGTGGAACAATCTATAGACTCATGGTTTCATCCGACATAACCAGCGCCACCACGACTTTCACGGTGGGTTTGATATAGCACACCAACGCAGCTCCATTCCACGCGCGCACAATCCTAACCTATCCGACGCCCGGCTCTTGTTACAAGGACCAGCGTTATTGCAACAGGGTCCGTGCGCATGTCTCAATTGGTGCGGTGCGTCTGGATGCGGCGGGACCCAGTGCCAGAATTAATCAAATTTAATGCTTCCATGGCAGAACTTCGTTAAACGTTTTTTTTTTTTTTGCAACACAAGTTGG